CAACTAAATATACAAGTCTTTCGGGCCAGAAATTAGAAACCTAGGTCCATTTTAATATCCGTTGGCTCCAAAATAAAATGAGAGTTGCTTATATTGGATACCGATGGTGACTACAAATAAGCATTTATCGCTTCCATGAGATTATTATAAAATATAGTTCATGCATCAATTAAGAATCTTTTGATTACCACAAATATAATAATCACTAAACGTATGTCTTTTTTTATGTTTGTGTATTACTTATAATAAAACAAGAGGGCCATGATGGCCCTAGATCGCTCACCTGAATTATCAAACTCATCCAAACAATTACCTAGACAAGCATTCTGACCAAGTCTCATGACAGGTGAGTCAAAAATGTGACCACTACAGTGTTAACAAGGATTATCCATATTTGAGCAGTGCGACCTAGTTTTTTACCCAGGTGACACATATTCAAACTTGACCTAGAAATCATCAAAACAAACTTTCAGACCAATTTCCAGGATACTTGGATCAAAACAGTAGCAACTAGAGTGTTAACAAGATTTTTCTATTTTTAGCTCCGGTGACCTAGTTTCACATGCGATTTCGAACTCATCCAAGCAATTACCTAGACAAGCATTCTGACCAAGTTTGATGATAATGGAGTCGAAAATGTGACCACTAGAATGTTAACAAGGTTTTTCCATATTTGGGCGGTGTGACCTAGTTTTTCATCCAAGATGACCCATGTTCGATCTTGACTTAGAAATCATCAAAACAAACTTTCAGACCAATTAATAGAATATTTGGATCACAACAGTAGCCACTAGAGTGTTAACAAGATTTTTCTATTTTTAGCTCCTGTGACCTAGTTTTTCATCCGAAATGTCCCATGTTCGATTTATTCCCAGCAATGACCTAGACAAGTTTCCTGACCAAGTTTGATGACAATTGAGTTAAAATTGTGACCACAAGAGTGTTAACAAGGTTTTTCTATTTTTAGCTCCTGTGACCTAGTTTTTCATCCAAGATGACCCATGTTCGAACTCATCCGAGTTATTACCTAGACAAGCATCTTGATCAAGTTTGATGATGATTGATGCAAAAATGTGACCGCTAAAGTGTTAACAAGGTTTTTCTATTTTTAGCTCCGGTGACCTACTTTTTCATCCGAGATGACCCATGTTCGAACTCATCCAAGCTATCAACTAGATAAGCATCCTGACCAAGTTTGATGATGATTGATGCAAAAATGTGACCACTAAAGTGTTAACAAGGTTTTTCTATTTATAGCTCCGGTGACCTAGTTTTTCATCCGAGATGACCCATATTCGAACTCATCCGAGCTATTATCTAAACAAGCATCCTGACAAAGTTTGATGATGATTGGGTCAAAAATGTGACCACTAGAGTGGTCACAACGTTTTTCTATTTTTAGCTCCTGTGACCTAGTTTTTCATCAGAGATGACCCATGTTCGAACTCATCCAAGCAATTGACTAGACAAGCATTCTGACCAAGTTTGATGATGATTGGTTCAAAAATGTGACCACTAGAGTGTTCACAAGGTTTTTCTATTTATAGCTCCTGTGACCTACTTTTTCATCCGAGATGACCCATGTTCGAACTCATCCGAGCTATCACCTAGACAAACATCCTGACCAAGTTTGATGAAGATTGGGTCAAAAATGTGACCTCTAGAGTGTTCACAAGGTTTTTCTATTTTTAGCTCTTGTGACCTAGTTTTTCATCTGAGATGACCCATGTTCGAACTCATCCGAGCTTTCAACTAGATAAGCATCCTGACCAAGTTTGATGATGATTGAGGCAAAAATGCGACCGCTAGAGTGTTCACAAACAATTGTGGACGGCCGGACGGACGACGGACGACGGACGACGGACATTCATCGATCCTAAAAGCTCACCCTGAGCAAGCTCAGGTGAGCTAAAAAGATTATCGGAATTTTACCAGGATGCCCGAACATTAGCTTTTGCTATGTAGTTTAGCAGTGCTCGAATATTTAATGTGACTGTGCGATATTTTCCCTGGCTTAAGTTATGTGAGTAGGAGTTAATTTCTTTGTGGTCCTGGTAATTTTTGCAAGGAAGGGCATACGATTTCATAGTTTGAACGTTTTGATGTTTCTTCAAAATTTATTTCTCTTTCTTTTGAAGTTCTTGCCAAATAAATCACAAATGAAATAGGCTTAATTAAGACACTAATAAAAGATGCATTGTGGGTTTAGCTGATAGGACTGAATGATGTTCGAGGTTATAAAAATAATAACTGTAAAACCCTATGTAAACCACCCATCATTTTACCATATACATCCTCGGTATACTATGGTGGCTGATTTACTCGAATTCGTGTTTCGCTTCTTTGCCACCAAATTGCAAAAACATTAATTTCGCATTGTTCTGTTTTCGCTTTTTCGCATTGCTGTATTCTGACTTTTTCGCATTGTTATGTTTTCGCTATTTCGCATTGTTCTATTTTTACATTTTCGCCTGGAGCAACGGTTCATATATGATAAACATATTATCCACAAGAACATTCTATCATATTTTATGAAATGTAACTGCGAACAAGGGTGCCATAGTCACAAAATACGCCTGTTTACGAAAGCTTTAGATGGAGATGGGGGCATTATGGATAAGTGTTATCTAGCAAGCAAGTTTTTATTCTTGGCACTGTGTTGTTAAATGAACCTTAAAACAAATCAATAGGGAAGATATGCACAGAATGTGTGACCTTGACCTTGGTCGCAGGGACCTGAATTTTATGCACGGCACTCAGCCTCACAATGATGAACATTTGTGCCAAATTATATTGAAATCCCTCTATGCATGTAGAAGTTTTGCTCCAGACAAGTGTTTTTCTATGAGCTCTAACTGTGACCTTCAAACGGGCGTATAAAAAGTACATGTAATTTAATAACTAAAAAATTCTGATTTAAGATTTTATTCTAGGGAAATACATTTCATTACAATTCTTAATCTTTGAATGAGCTGAACTGATATTTACTTGAAAATTAAAATATAATTAAATTTCTATGAGAAAGTATTTACATTTGATAAGGTAATTACTGTATGATCTTTATGAACAAATACCAAGTCTACAGAACACCATAGTTATCACAGTTAAGAATCTTGACCAATGAATGAAACATGTGTAAATAAATGTTACATTCTTTAGAACATACTCAAGTCCAAGAAAGAGGATTATTTCATGCCCTTTGATTAAATTCTATTTTTAGAATTGAAAGTGAAAATAGATCAAGGGGAGTAATTGTGTAAGTCATTTATGAACAAAGTAATAACTTTGTTGTCTCCCTTTGATTAAATTCTATTTACAAAATCTGGATATTTCATCATCTTTAGTGACCTTGACCTTGCATATATAAACTTAAATTACATATTTAACAGCAGCAGTCATGGTAATGACCAATTGTGCTCCAATCTCTAAATAAATGATGACTTAATGATCCGAATACACAGTTTTCATATTTTATCTGAACTTTGACCCTATTTGTGACCTTAACCTTGGCTTCAGAGACCAAATGTTTTACACGCGACACTCCGCCTCACAATGATAAATATTTGTGCCAGGTTACTTTGAAATACCTCTATGCATGTAGTAATTTTTCTCTGAGCAAGCGTTTTTGAATGACCTCTAAGTTGGTCTTTGACCTTTGACCCAGAGACCTGGTTCATGTGCGCGACACTGCTCCTCATAGTGGTGAACATTTCTATGAAGTTTCATTAAAATCCCTCCATACATGTAGGAGATATGCTCCGGACAAAATTTGGACGCCGCCCGCCCGCCAGGGCGTTCCCATAATACGTCCCTTTTTCAAACAGGCGTATAAAAAGCGAAAATGCAACAATGCGAAAATGAAACAATGCAATGTGGAGACGGCAAAGTTATACTTTGACGTCTCTTTTTGTATACGCATATTTGTATTTGGAATGCGAAAAAAAAACACGAAAATACGACAGATGGAATGCGAATATACGACAGATTTTATGTGTCGTATTTTTGCCCTCCTGTCGTATTGTGGTTTTTTGCCTTGAAAATCCCAAAAAGCGAAAATCGTAGAGACGACAAAGTCCAAATAACTTGAGGCGAAGAAGCGAAAATACAATATGGCGTAAATCAGCAACCATAGTTAACTCTTTACGTGTTGTTTAGCGAATCTTACGATTTATATTATTAGACGGAATATACGGGAGAGGATAGCCTGGATCAGATAAATATGTGTAGTTTATCATTTTCATCAGAATTTATTATCAGTAATATTACATATTTTATTTGTAAAAGACTAAAATTACCTGAAACTATTTTTCATTAGATAATGTCTATAACTCCGCGAGAGATTGGACATTATTGGGAGCTAAACCCAATCAATTACTCAACAAATCATATTTATGCCCCCTTATCAGTTATCTTTAAAGCAGTGACACTTAGAACTAGCTATGAAGGGAAATAAGTCTCACCCGCCTAAATCTGTCCCCAGGTGTTATTTCGATTTGAATCAACAGCTGTCAAAAGACATACTTTACAGCTTTTTGTACCACTTATGTCATATGTTTATCAGTGGTCACTCTAACCCCCCCCCCCCCTTGCCCGAGGGTTCTTCCCTTTGAATCACATCAGTATCAGGGTAGTAACTCTTGTTAACTGAATATTGTCCACCTTTGACCACTTATGCCAAATATGTATTCAGGGGAAGTCACTCTTTTATCAACTGAACATGCCAAAATTAAGTCCCTTTGACACATAACTACCCAATTTTGATTACTAGTATCAGGTGAGGTCATGCATGTTTAGTAAATATTGCCAGCCCAGGGTGATTTATAAGTTGCACAGAAATCAATTTACCATGTTGGGTAAAAACGCACTTGTTTTAACATCACTTAGTAAAGTTAGTTTAATACTGGCAGTAGAGAGCCTGATCAGACTGCAGAGATACTAAGATAGGGGTCTAATAGCTGGACCTATATATCACCAAAAGTAACAGAAAACAAAAGACTTGCTTATACATAAAACTATAATGTTTATTTTTACTTTTTCTTTAAAATGTTAATCATATCAAAGTAAAAATGTATCTAAATAAAACTTAATACAAAGCATGCCAAGGCATTTTCAGTAAATATACAAAAGAAAACTATCATACAACAGTGGAGCATGGACAGAAAGAACATCTGAAGAATAAATAGGTTCCAGTCCATGAAAGCAAGCTTGCCATTGGTTAATTTCAAATCACAATTTTGAACCAACCAATAAGGTTCTTTCATTTCAAGACTGGTTTCATTTTTTTTCATAATTATTTTAACAGAATGGTTGCAGTGAATGGCTTAGAAAGTCTGTCTTACAAATTCTAGTACTAGTTTCTTTTTTAACAAAAACATAAAACAATTGTATGGAAAAGGTCTAGATAAAATCATTAAAACCATTGTAAACGTTGATAAAATTCTTGATTATTTTCATAATATATAGTTTTGTTCTATAGCTTCAAAATAATCTGACAATAACATTTTACAAAGAAGGCAAACATTTTCAAAGACGCAATCTCTTTCAAGAGTGAGAAAAATAAATAGACATGGTGCTTTTTTAACTCAAAATTGTTTTGTTCGTGTTGCACAAAATATAATCAGAATCAATAAAATAAGCATCAAAACTAGACAGGATAGAGTCCAGCAGAAGAAAGGTAAATTTAGCTGCTTTTCATCAAATAATGTAAGAATTATTTTTTTTCTTCTAAAAATAAAATATCTCTTGCCATAATAATATGCCAGTAAAATCATGTATGGGCCATTAGATGTCGTAAAAATCAATGAAGATAGGAAAAGTATAAGAAATGTTTAAATAAAAATAAAACAAAATAAGTTAAGAATGACCTCATTAAAAATAATAGAATAAAACCTTGTCAGCATAAAAAACCATTGCCTGGCCCTAAGACAGTTGTTTTGCTTGTCTGTTTCAATTTTGTTGTTCTTGGGATTTTATAATTCCTTTATATTAAAGAAAGGGAGCTTACTTTTAACATAGGTCTGTAAACATGTATTTCTTATAGTCAACTTATAAATAATAAAACAAATAAATAAGTCATAATTTTTATATACTTTATGATTTTACAACCCAGCAAAAATAATAATCCAAGATAATAAATTCATCAGAAAAATAGTCAAGTTTAAAAATAAACAAGAAATAAACATGTTTGTTTTTTTCCATTCAAACACAAAGTCTGGGCCTTAAATAAATCAACAAAGATTGAAAACAAATACATGTTCTAAAACGAAGCATTGATTAAATATATTAAAAATGTTGTTTAAAACTTGTCTATGTACACTTGGCTTTCAGCCATTTTGTTTATGTCTAACAACGTATAGGTTAACAAATATTTACAACCAAATTTTTTTTGTCACAATCATAACTTCTTTACAACATGTACATGTATATAAGTCACTATTCCTCCTTAAACTTTTCACGAATGAAACTTAACACTATAAGACGGTGCTTGTTTCTATAGCAACAAGACAAAACAACAATATTTCATGCAAAAAAAACATCAGCAATGAGGCGCAATAAAAATATCCCTAATTCATCAACAGTTTTAAAGTAATTATTATTGCTATAAACATATATTTTTCAAATAACCATGCATAAAATTTACCAGAAAACTTCACAGTAGTTAATAATAAGAACAAAGCTATAAATGGACAACCGAGTTCCACTCCTTTCAGATGGTCACAAATTCAAGCAAGTTACAAATTTTGTCCAACAAAGGGTGATGGCACATGGTGATTTTAATTAAAGTCCGATATGTAAGTATTCGTTATTGGTATCAATGGCACAATCTAAGAGAACAACGCAAGATTTCAAGAGCACTTTTAAAGAGTTTCAAGGCAAAGGCGGCATTTGCGATATAAATAGGTCAGTTACATATGACACAATTAAGTACGACTACAGAACAAAGAACATTGCTTGATGTTTGATTTTCCGTTACGAATATAAATCTATTTAGATACATATACTTAAATTTCCATTTAAAAAACCTATCAAATTCATCAAAACAATAAAGGTTAATTTAGAAATAAGAAAGAACTTTTTGAATTTGACAATATCATTGAGATCATTAATTACTTGACTATTTCAAATATATTATTAGTAAACAAACTTTTCTTGGCTCCAATATAAAAATTTCACTCTCTTTAATTGATCTAAACACTAACCAAACTTTTTATTCACTGTAACATTATTCAAACAACCAGATTTTTACACAAGGACAAAAATAGAAAGAGAAAAGAAGGCACAGTTTATGACACAACCTTGTACAGTACAGGAAATATAGGCACACCTGTTATGTGATATATTGCATTGAGAAACATCTACATAAAAATCATGTAAAAAAGTTTTCTCGTTACTTCGTTTAAAAAGGCACTCGACCATTGCATTAAGTTATATACTTATGAAACTCATCTTATATATAAAATTTTGCTATTGTTATAAAACCATGTGGTGACTTTACGATAATTATATGCTATTCCTTTATAAACTATAATAAATTTTAAAATGATAAATGTTATGCTACAACTTGTTCTTATAGATGACGCCATGTTCTAGAATGGTTAACATTTAGTTGACCAGAATTATTGCTTCATAAAAAGTTATAACAGGATTTCTCGTCATAAGTATAGAGCACTATTATGTGAAAATAAACAAGAACAACAAGATTCCCATTCTTAAAACGTTCAATATCCTAAAATTCTATGCAATCATCTCACAAAAATTTAACACAAAATACATATTTTCTGAATGGAGTTTGATAAAATTTTTTAAGAACTATGTACTAGATAATTCAAATATTCATTTTCTTCTGAACAGTCTTAATTTTTTTTCTTCGTCAAAATAAATTTGTTTCAAACTCATTAAATAAGTCTGTTTTAAGAAATGTGAATCTGGTTGTGCATATTTGATAATCATATAAACAATAAAGAGATATGCATTTCAAATTCTTGTTTTATAACAAATATAACTTCAATTCTTCATCATTCAGTAAGAGAGAAAAAAAAATAAGCAAAGGGAAGTAATCATGTCAGTCTTAAATTTATGCTTTTACTGATCATCTCCCTTTAATCAAGCAGATTATTCACAAACCTCAGTAAATCGTTCACAAAAAACAACTTGTGCTGTCGAAAATATACCATTAGAATTTGACACAACCAGTGTTGCAATAAAATCGATCATGCTTTACAAGATCCAACTATTTAATAGTGTTACTCATGCTAAGGCCTACTTATGTTTATTCTCCTAAAATTACATGTGCATATGTTTTACTTTACTCCTTTCATATCACAGTTAAAGCTACGATGTTTTTCTCAATAATTGACATCCACACAATGTGAGCTAGCATTGTCCAGTTATAATTTCAACATCTAATTTCATCAGAAAAACAACAATTATTGACAGATTAAACAATAATAAACTTGACCAATGTTCAGTCTACATCAACATTCCCAATTGTGAAGAAAAATGACAAATATAACATTCCTTGAATGTGTAGTATAAATAATGTAAGTTGCAGGGAAAGATTTTCGACTACGACGCCAAACTGGACATATTATATTTGTGAAATGATTTTCTGTCAGCCTTGCAACACATAACCCTGACACAAGTTTTTAAACCTGTCAAAAAACTTTTGAAGGTCTTTCTTATCAATTTTTAAAACAAAGCAAAGTTTACTGACCAAATGAGCGACAGAAATAAAATATTAGAAAGTTTTTTTTGTTCCTTGAATAAGACAGAAACATGTTCATTTTCCTTCTTTTGTTTATTCTATATGCACCTCCGCAAATCCCAGGACCATTCATGTGTAAATATTTCCAGTATCTTAGATACCCTATATGTAAGAGGTGTTTAGCACCAAAAAAGCCAAAAGGAATGGCTACATTCATGGGTTGCTTTAAGCTTTAGCATTAGGACTGAATGCCAGTCAATTTAATTTTTTGACTGTGTCTCAGATTTTATCTTTACATCTTATTATTTTATTAACCAGTCTATTTTTGTAGTTAGACTGTGTCACGTTTTGCACTGCTGTGCCCATTTTGGCAGGATTCTCCTTCTTGCATTTGTAAACCAGTAATTGATCTGGTTTATAGTTAAACCAGTCTGTTTTATCAGCATGGCCTTCTCATCATCGTTGGGGTAGGGGTTGTCCTTGTGTTGTCTTAACCAGTCCAACATAATGGCAACAGCCTGAAGAGAAATACATACAACTCTATAGGATATAAATATATTAAGAATTCATAATTGTTTCTAACTATTCTTATAAATGAAGAGGACAAATCACATTCTTAAATGAAAGCTAATAAAAGTATAGAACTGAGTAACCACCTAAATAACTTATAAATAAACAATGGTCTTTGGTCTTGAAATGTTAGATTTCATTACAATTTCCTCCAATTTCATGTCTAGTTTTATTCAAACATACATGTATCTATACTTGCTAGATGATAAAAGCTGACTTGAACCACTCTAAAATTGGCTTCCTAAAACTGACCAAAACTGGTGCCATGTAAGATAACCTGGCTCTAAATGCAGCTACCCAAGTTGTGTTGAGCAGGCAGACACTTAAACCACTGAGCAACATGCTCTTGTTCCAGTCTAAACGATGGATCCATTTCAACGAAAGATACATTTTGTTGGGCAAAAAAACCCAAATTTTAACCTATTTTCAAGAACAAAATACTAACCTCTTTTGGAAGACTGGGATGTTTCTTGGACTCTGGCTTGTTTGGGTGGCTACTACTACTGACCACACTACCACACTCGCTACCTGATTCGAAATCTATCATTGACTTGAAGTTCGGAGACATCATACCGCTAAATTCAAGACCCTTCTTTGCTTGGGGTGACATGAACATGGCTCCTGGCATCTGAAAATAGATTTAATGTGATACTCATGAGTTGTATCCCTTAGAATTTATAAACATACAGTTATTTATCTTTAGGTCAAGAATCTGAGTCGCACCAATACAAGCTGTCCTTAACATGCCTTTTGTTCATTTTGGACTTCACCAGCTTTGGAATAAGAACTGTTCTTTGCCATTTTACGAGGTTCCAGCGTCAAAATGCTAATTTTAAAAATTGGAGTGAAAAAACGGGAAAGGACAATTTTAAATTTTTGAATGCAAAACCCATTGCACCCATTCCATGACCCATCTTTGCTAAAAAATATTTTGAAAAATTTTCATTTTTGTTTTTTAGATAGGAAAAATTTAAATAAATATTACTTATATTTTTGTAAATAAATTATAGCTAAGATCACAATTATAACCTATTAAGATGATGCTTTATATACTCAATGCTAATGACATAAAATAATTAATTCATTAACCAAAACTAGGCTATTACTAATATAGCACCCAATCAATTCACCTTTCATAAAACCTTAGTTTCTACACCATACATGTTTACTCAATAAAAACCCCCAACCAGAAACCCGTGGTCTTTAATTAATTGTGCCTGTTAAAAACAAACCCAAAAAAATTCTATATTTTTAATTTCAGCTTTTGGGGAAGAAAATGATTGATCTCCCCTATAAGCCCCTCAAAAATACAAAACAAAAAAAACGACAATAATTTTTTCCAAATTTTATAAATCTATTGATCAGTCGGGAAAAACCCGGGGGCTTTAAACGCCCGAACCCGTGGGCTCCTTTCTTTTTGCAAAATTTTTTCCCCTTTTTTTTTCTCCCCTTTGAGTCAATAGGGTTTAATCCAAAACCCAACTCCTTTGACAATTTACAAGATTAACTTCATAATTACGACTCTATTTGACATTTGCGATTTTTTCCGACATTATTGTTGCAACGTGCAACTTTATCCATACATCATGCTATTCTGTATTGCAAGTTTTAATACGAAACATTAACGGAATAAAATACACGATTTAATGAATCTGATGCAATTTTAGAATTAAATATCATTTTGACTTAATATGGAGATACCATGTTCACTAATTGCATGTACTAGATTAATGAAAAATTCTTGACATGATTTGATTTAATTTTTTTTTTTTTGCTTAAAAAAAAATAATAAAAAAATTATCAAAATTCTAACAAAACACCAAAAATCAAATAAAAAGTCAAAAATAGAACAAACACAAAATTAACATTTTAAGAAAGATCAACTTTCTTAATTTTACATGTAGCTGCGAGGGGTAAGAAAATATCATTTTTTGACAAATAATTTATGGTCGGACATTAATGTCTTTACTGGCCATGTTATACCAAATATTTCTACTTTTGTAATCATATAACCATTTATCATTTTTTGACTGCAGACGAAATATGATGGATAATTACAACCTATTTTAAGAGCAGTAGAGACCATGTATAACAATAACCTGAAAACCCCCATTCTTGAGCAGTAGTCTTACAATATGATGATGTATTCCCGAAAGTTCTAATTTCAAAAACCTTCAGTGTGTTTTTTCTGTTTATCTGAATCATTATGAAAGAGTTACGAGGTTACGGCATGCAAGTCTGCTTTAGAAATTTAGAAAATAAAGAAAACATTTGTATTTCTGGCTATCCTAATATATCACATAAAAACCGACCGATGCGATGTTATTCCGGTTGTTGCATGTGTATCTGCTTTGTTTGTTGCGCAAAACTTGAAACTAATTAACGGAATTGATCACATTTTGTCCTGTTCTCAATGAAAATCTATTTCACGGTCTTGCAGATAAATAGCAGTGGCGCCAGCAGATACAATATCTAACAGGGACTCTGGTATTGCCCCCAATCAAATTTAAGCATACAACGCAGGTTGGTTTTTTTTTTCGTTACGAAATCAATCAAGATAATATCTACCCGGAATGCTAAAACTGTCAATGCAGGATAAAATATATTCTAGGCAGGCTCAGATACGATTGATTTCCCATTTCGTTCGAGTGTTAAATTGATCGCTTGATTACCTTGCTTTTATTTTAAATTTAAAATTTACCCCGGAAAAAAACACTTCAAAAATATTTTTTAGCTCAAATGTTACAAATTTTTTTATTTTATTTTAAAAATCTCAACCCAAACCTTTTCAAGCAGAACCCCATTTTTATTAAAATTTAAAAAACAGATTTTTCCCCCTACATTCATTTTAAAAAATTAAGGAAAAATGGGGGTTAAATTTTATATTAAAATTTAGGGGGGGGGAAATCTTTTCGGTCAAAAAAAACCCCGTGACCGGGAAAACTTTTTGGGGTTTACTCTTGTAGAATCAAAAAATTTCCCAAAATTTCATTTTAATTCTGCCCTTTTAATTTGTTCTTAATGGGTTGGCATGTCCATTAAAATGATAAATTTTACTGATCATTTATTGCAAACATCCATTATACATAGAGTATTGCACACTACATTATGCATGAAATACACTCACAAAAAATAATGTGCTTTAAATAGTAGCAAAAAAACTCAACAAAAAAATCCAATTGAGTTATGAGCATTTCTCTTTATTTTTGTCCAATTTAACATAAGTGTTGCTGCTTCCATTCATAAAATCATTAGATCGTGAATTTTTTTTTGTCGTTGAACCACTTAAATATGTAAAATGCGCGGACAAGTGGTCTCTCTTACAACCGGATATTAGCCGACACAATTTCAATGACAATTTCTCTATTACGTCTTGACCCCAAGAGCACATTAAATAACTGCAAACTGCTGTGCAATCAATAACACTTCATCAATGTAGAGACTGAAGTATGTCCCGCCTTTTCATATACTGAGATAGGACAGTTTTCCGTATAATCTACGTAATTTACATTACAATGGGCTACCGTTCGATATGAATACAATACTTTCGTTGCTAAAAAATATTTAATTTATTCGATTTTAATTCATATTGTAATCTTAAGATCTCGGGTGTAAAATTTTCTAACAATTAATGTAAATTCTCCGGGCAACTGATTTTTAAGTATGTCATACGTACATTGTAAAGAAAATGGATTAAAACATCGATATAATGATTAATCACGGAAACAGAGTTTTACTGCACTATATGTAAAACATATATACCGTGTTGTTGTGCAAATTTTGCTGGGACATTGATTTTTTTTTTTTCATTTTGATCACATGAAGTGAAGAAAATAGTTTTGACACTATGTCCTGAACTTTGTTGTATATTAAATGGACTTGCCCAGTTTAAATTTATTTCTTACAAACTTGCATATTTTTTTTTAATTCAGGAAATTCCATTCATATTTTGAAGGCTGTTATCGAAATTTTCAAATTTCATTTAATTAATCGCAAGATATCATACAAGTTATGTAGCATACATTGTCAGCATGTTTGCTTTGTTTAGGTTATATCATGATAGGTAGAAAAGTCATAACTATTTAAGCATATTAATATATCTGAGCTTAAAAAAAATCCTATAATCTTTAGTAACGCTTTTTTTTGGACAGAATACACACAATGCATTTGTTTCTTTTTCTTGTTGTAGTCATTTTACTTTCAATGGAATTTCTTTTGTGCATCATTTTGAGTAATTCATGTATCAGTTAAAATGAATGACACAATTTACTCACTTTTTTTCTTGTATAAATATTTATGGCATTAGAACCTCCAATAGACATGGCAAAATACCCTAAATTTCCCTCCAACATTTTGAGTAATTCATGATACATCCCGGTAAAAATGAGTGACAAAGTTTTCTCCGCTCCAATTTTTTTATTTTTTTTGTGTATATATTTACAGCATTTAAAACCTCTATTAGACATGTAAAGTGCCCTTAATTTCCCTCCAACATCATTAAGTAAAAGATCATTCATGCCCCGGCCCATCCTAGCTTTTTCTATTGTATACATATGTTACACCTTTCCTTCACAACCATCACTCAATCACCTGTCAAAATTTTAACATAACAGACCCATCATCTTCTATAAAACAACTTGAAATATTTTCACCTACAGTCACAATGTATGTACCGCATTCTGCCCTATTTAATATATACATACATATTAAATCCCATTTATATTCAAACCTCAAAACCCCTGACAAGAATGAATTTCATTACCAGTATGACTGTATACCTTTTGTTAAGATCTGTGTTAATAATGTGTGTATGCAGTAAAAAACCTTCCCACCAAAAAATCGTTTTTAGATACAAAATCTTATCAGATGAACAAATTTCAACATTGCTGTTTATCTGTTGTTTAAATCTAATTTTGAAGAATTTTGTACACAAAGAAAAAGACATGCTGATTTCGCCTTAGAAAAAAATTGTCAAGGAAAAAATTTAGTTGATTAAGCCTTAGAAAAGATTTTCAGTCTGGAAGAAATCTAGTTGATTTTGCCTTAGAAAATATTAAGTCGGAAAATATTTAGCCCAAGGGTTAGGCTTTTCTTTATTTTTGTATTTTTACATACAAATAAACCTTAAGTTCTTAGAGGGTTAGGTTTTTCTATATTTTTACATACAAGGAAAACATTATGTTTTTTGTTATCTATTTTTAGAAGTGCTTTTAATTTACAATAAGAAAAAATTAAGAGTTTCGGACAAGATTTAGGACTTTATTTGAGAACTTTGTCCATAACAGAGGTTTTGATTTCAGTTGTACAAAAAACAGAATCATGAAAAGGAAGTATGTGGGACTATAAACACAAATTTCTGTTGTATATCACTCCGTAACTTGAATTTCACTGTCATGCAAAACAAAATTTATGTTACTTATCAATGTTTAATACAAGTAAACACATGTAAATTCTGAGAGGAAAAAAAAAACACATGGAAAAACAGAGAAAACAAGAGCTGTCCGTAAGACAGCGCGCTCGACTTTTTTAGTGCTTGCCTATAATACAAAACATTGACAGTTAAGGGCCATAATTCAAATAAAATCTTTGACAGAATTACCTTCTCCTGGACATGTTTGGGAATCATGA